TGGATCTTCCAAATTATTGACTGAATTCCGGTTCGTAACATCAAAATTCTAGTGAGTATGATATAGATGCCAAACTACGAGCAGATAGCACTGGAAGAGAACTAACTATCGGTCTATCGGTGAAGTGAATGAGAACAGATAACTTCCGGAATTAGCGTATACAAGCACGAGGCTATATGATTTCCTCAAATGGGCACACTGAATATCACATAGACTTCCTTCCACTCTCCAGAAAGTTGAGACATAGTTTAGTTGACCCAATAAGACCCCTGTCTAGTTCAATAAACCTCAAGAACACATTTGAAGCCTTCAAAGATGTGAGGGATAAAACACAAGATTAACACTCAGAATACAGGGCAAAGGTACAATTGACATCATCACATAAAAAGTCATTGGCACTAAGTAACACCATCGAGGAGACCTGCATTGAAGAACACTGACCTTTTGAAAGCGTCATGGTGGAAAACCCTTTGGAGATCTTAGGCAAGACAAGAAATGGCTGACTACGGACACCTGAAACAAAATAGAGGAGATTAGGATGGTAAAGCAGAATGTAAAGCATTTCAGAAATGAACGACGAAAAGAGAAGTTGAGTATGGTCTTCAAAGGAGCGAAGAAAAGTACCAAGAGAGACAAAGGACGCGTTCAAGACGCACCAGTATCTGAGATAGAACAAGCTGATGGTGAAACCAGTGAAAGAAGACTAATTACCGAAGAGATGGAAAAGGTAGGACGCTGAGCTGATCACTTCAAAAGCCTCTTGAATCAACTACCGCCATCATGTAGCAGATCGTTGGGAGGGTGAAGATGGGCATACGATTAACTTACAGAAAGACCGTAGAGTAAGTGGATTTCGCAAGTGGTGTGTCTCATTTCTCATAAACTCGAAGATTTACGAGTGGAAATCGATAAATTGGCAGCAGAGAAAGTTAAGACGCGATTTTGGGTGAACATAGAATAGACAGAGGCGACGAAGATATCCAACCAATCAACAGGCTCCAATTTCCATCAGTGGAAGAAATTTATAAGAAAATAGGCTGGTTTACTCCTATGACTACAGGGGAACGGATGAGGATATCAAAGCTAGACAGGAATTCACTATTCTGCAATCAGTGGGAAGATCAACATTACACTCAGCACAAGGAAAAGTGATCCGAATTATTGACTTATATGTCAAGTTAGTGCTTCTATGCTGTTCAGAGACTTGACAAGAGCGTCACATATCAAGTACCAGGTTCATTAAGGATGATGAACGTCTCCCAATTCTAAAAAAACAGATTCATGTGTACATACTTAAAATTTCTGTTGTATTTGAGCTGTGCGCAGTTTTTAATGAAGCCTGGATGTATTGTCTAACTGAAATAGGATTAGATTGGAGACGAGCTGGGGCTGGTTAAACCATAACATGGAAGCAGTCACTGAAGTCTTCGAGATTTGATTTGAACCACCTAGCAAGGTGTAGACTTCCAGACTGGCTGGAGTCCTTAGGATACTAAGAACCGTTGAGCTGAAATTACTGGAGATATTTCTCAAAGTTGTTGTTAGTTGCAAAAATCCACTCACTCTTCGTGATTTATTACACACTTTAAACCCTCATTTCTTCCCATATTACTATTCTTTCTCCCGTATATAACAGTTCTTTTTCCTATCTCCTGTGTCTTTCTGTCTGTGCTATACGGAGTGTTGCAATCTGAACTGATACACTTCTGTGCAAAGTTCTACAGTGAAGCTCAATCTACCCACTCTTGGACGTTATTACGAAATTGATGCGGCCTAATTAAGAACTTGTCTCAATAACAGTTTAAGAGTTTGTCAACATGCTGTTGAACTCGTTAGTAATGCAAATTGACTGACTGACTGGTTTCAGCATAGAACTTTGCACAGGTGTGCAGCAGTTCAAGTCACCACACTCCCTCCTTGCAGGACACAAAAGACAAAAGGGAGAAAAAAGAAATTCAACAGAACGATAATGAACAAAAATGTGAAGAAAAAAGACCAATCATATGGACGAACAGTAGAGTAGTTTGATTGGATATGAGAAATCATAAAGAGTGAATACATCTGAGCTATCATTGAGAACGATGATTTTGAGTCATGTCACCAATTGCCTCCAACCGTCATTGGTTCTTACCATCCACCCCAAGGACTTTAACCAGGAAGTCTAAACCTCCCTACGTGGTTGGTGTTATGTACTCGTCGCTAAATTATTGTTATGGACTGGTCGAGAAACTAATAGTCCTGACGCGAGAAGGCGGAAATCAGAAGACCACTAGGTTTGCGATGATACTTCTATTGTCCAAACACAAGGAGACGAAAATAAATGGTCTCACACCAAAGTGGTAAGTAAGTAAAGTAAAGTAGTTCACACAAATTGTGTGAACGAAATATATATGTAGCAAAATATATAGCAGACATGTCAACAACAACCATATATGGATATATGTCACTAAGCAACGGACTGTCAACAAACACTCATATTATATATAATATAAATGGAATATACATTGTTAAAGGAGACAGGTTCATACAAGTGAAATGGTCACAGACTAACCGAGCAAACAGAAAGAGAGACCAACATACACACACACATAAATATATATATGTGGATACATATCGGTTGGCTGGCTTAAACTAACTGTTGTGAATTTCATTGACTTATGAAGTCATGTTTTGTTGTGGCTACCGCTAACCAACTCCTCTCCAAACTGATCCTATTTCAGTCAGCTAACATTGTCCGTCAGTCGAGGAAAGCGATGGATGGCTAGGCAGGCATGCGTAACACGTGTCCCAACCATCTCACTCAATGGATGTAACTGCTTCACAGCCTCATCGATTGATTTCGCCTCCTTACCTAGCACTCGACCGATCAATGCTAAACGTCAACATTGCTCACCTTATTAAATCACTTAACACGAGAGACAGAACGCAGACACTGATGATCAAAGACAGCTAGCCTTTTCGTATCTTCCTTTTTCAATGACTGTCTCACAGTCATAAAGGAGGATGCAGAGAACTGGCGAGCAGCACACACGTCCTTTGATTGACAGCCAGTCGTATCTCCCTATGTCCGAGAATCTATCGCAGGGTGAAGATATGATCCTGATCTAAGACCAGCCTGGTTTTCTCGTGTTTGTTCCTCCCGAGCACCACTTAGCCTATGCATGATTATTAGGCTCAAAACTTTAGATAGTATATTGGTTAAGCTAATCCCCCTGTGATAATCACAGGGGGACAATCAGTGACTTTCACCAACCCGATGGGATTTCCTCTGATTCCCAGATATTGCCTAATACCCTCCTCAGGAGGAGGAGGGGTCAGTCTTGCTGTCGGCCTCAAATACCCGTTTTGCTATTTGTTTTTTGAATACGGACTCAGTGTCTTGGTCTAAAGGGACGTAACTACTTCACTGCCAACAGATTTTATGTCCGTCTAATCCTAAGCGTAGACGTGCGCGAACCAGGGCGTGATCGGAGTCTATTCACGTGTACCAGACGGAGCGACAGTCTTCTACTAACCCTCGCCAACGATACCCTATCGCTATGTGGTCTATTTGAGTCCCACGTTGATTTGGTGATGGAGGTCACCAGGTTACGCAATGTCTATTGAGCGAACTGCTGAGCGGTACTCACGTCCTTTGATCGATAACCAGTCGGATATCAAGTCTACATGCATTCCAAGAGTTATGGTCTTCGTATGATAGATGACTGAATATTCGTTGAACATTCGTTTCAGCAAACAGTATCGAAATCCATATCATTCGCTTGTGTTGAAGATTGAAACCCAATGAAGGCGATTTATCTATATGAGCATAATCAACAAAAATCTCCACTTTATCCACCAAAATGAAATTATATTTAGTGATTTTTAACCACTTGTTCGTTCCTTAATAATTTTTCACCAGATTTCCGAATAATTCTTTCATCTAACTAGTGTAAATAAACTGCTAAGTGATTACTAAGTTGGTAGTAGATTTACTCCTACTGGCATTTTTTTTACATTAACACAGGCTGGAAACCGAAAGTGTAGGTTTTTCATAGAGTTTCGAAGGAGTGTAGTCATCTAAAGTTAGAATAAAGAAAGAACAAACACAATTTGCAGTTCCAGGATAAAACGAGCCGGTTTTATTTAGTGAATTCTGCCTCTTCAACTACTTACATCCTAAACAAAATCAAATTATAAGTTACAAAATAATGTCTGAACATACTTTTCTCACAGTGACTTCGAGTTATAGATAGAAAGAAAGTATAGGCAACATAATTCCAAAGGTGGTGTAGGCAGACGTTAGAAGAGTAACTATTCATATAATAATTAGACAAGAGTGGCGACAGAGTTCAGATTTAGCTTGGAAACAAGGATGGGCTTAAGACAACAGAGTGAATTTTATGTATATTACAGTGAGGAGTTAAGGTGGGTGAGGGTGAATAGTGAATTCGAATTATAATATATAGACAAAATAATTTGGTAGATATGGAAACGTAGTAGTGATGAGTTCAACTCAGTGAGTGAAAATCAAAATCAAAAATGAGTGGAATGTTGGGCGACAGAACAAAACACAAAAGCATACGACAAAAAAAACAATTACGGTTACCAGGGTATTTAGAGATTAGTTACACCATCTTTCTGTATACATTGGTTGACTCGAAGTCTTTTGATAGTGGTGTAATGGCTTCTGCGAACTGAAGTAACCATACTTTTCTTTATGCATTGATTATTTTGAAAGTTTGACTAATATCCACTGTATGTTTCGTGTCAATTAGGTGTTGTCTGGCGATTTTACTTGAGAACACTTTCAAACGGTGACTTTTAGGGATGTGCACGGAGATCGTCCACGGAGATTTTCCTTTCTATGTACTTCCCCCCTGCAGCAAGTCCAGGTGAGTTGGTAGATGCAGTTGGGGGTTGGCATGCACAGCAGGATGCTTATCTACTTTGGACTGAGTTAATTAGCTTTACAACACGTGTTATGCTCCCTTTGTTTTACTGTTCTCCTTGAATTATAGACTCCATTGGATTCGATACAATCACTAACACAAAGCTCATCATGTTGGATACTTAAAAATGACATGAAAATATGGAATCATGGTAAAGTGATCGGTCATCTTGTAAAATCAATTGAACAGGATAATATTATTGGTGTGTATTATGATAAAGGTAAATTAAAGTTTACTATCAATGGTGAATTATGCCAAATTTATTCATCAGAACAAATTAATCAACATTTTGACTATGTCGACAATATAAATGGAGTTGTTTATCCTGTGTTAGGCGTTGAAGAGGATAGTGTGTTGGATGTAATGTTTACAGCGAATTCATTCAAGTATCCACCGCCTATTGAAGGATTCGGTGAAATCACATTTCAAAAAGAGGTTACTTTTAAGTAAATGATGAATAGGTGTCAGTTGTTTGATTTTATCTATACACACACACACACACACCAACACCACCGCCCAACGAACTTACATAACAAGCCATATTATGTCTGCAAATATCATGAATTTTTTAGAAAAAATTTCTTTCACGCCTCGATTACATCTATCCAGTTGCTATTGTTCCGTTTTTTTATGTATTTAAGTGGCCACGCAGATTCCACTGTTATTCATTCAGTAGACTGTGATCAAATTCTCCTTTTACGTTTGATTTATTTTTAACTTACAGTGTGATATTATTTTGCCATTTTTTAATTATCTAATTTTTCATTTTAAATATTGTAATTTTTTTAAAATTAACTTCCTTAACTTTTTTATTTGTATTTTTTTTTAAAAGAAGTTTTATTAGGAATGAGAATTAATGATTATTCTTCAAAGGACTGATTATTGATTAATAAAGAATATTCTCTGCGATAATCTGTTCTTCATCAGGTTCTGCAGTTCTATGCATCCATCCATAATAATGATGAAAGAATTAGAACTAATAACAACAACAACATTATGTGCGTCGGTGGCACAGTGGTTAGGACTCTCGCCGACCATGCACATGGTCCGGGGTTCGAGCCCACGCCGGCGCACACCTGATATCTATGGTCGGCCTGCAAAATTTGGGCTACCGATATCCATGCTGAAAATTCCATACTTGTACCAAAAATACAGTGTGGAATCAAGCTGTAAATCAAAAAAAAAAAATTAATGCTGTTTAAATAAAATCAAATCGGTCGAGAAGATCTAAGCTGAATGAAGATGTTGTCTAGTAATTAAATTAGCCAGATCAGAGAACATAACTAATTAAAAATAATATCGAATCAATCGATAATATGAATAGATTATAGTTCACTAAAGCATTTGTAAGTGTGAAAATATGCATCAACATAACAAACACTACAATACACATTGAATGTCAGACAGACAAATTAGGATAAAAAATAATAATATTGATGATGAATTTATAGGCTCAACAGAGAAGACCAGGGCAGTAATAGTGACTGGTTGACTGGACCTGTTTATTGTGCACACACACACATAGGGGGCAATTGTATTGGGCTAATCGCAATGGCCCCTGCTGTTTGGTAGAATATTTGATACGTGTTTGCTTTTGGTGATTTATTTGGTACCCAATAGATGATGATGATGATGATGGATAAGGATTCTTCAATGCTAGCTTTTTGGCCAGTGTGAATCGGTTTGGACCGAGTGTTCCCTTAATATCGAACTGTTTGTTGACGAAAGTTTTCACTTTTTCACAGTTTTATTTGTTTAACCACACTGCACTGACAGGTGTTCGTAAGTGAGCACGAAAAATCAAGTTACTAGAGTAATGGGGAATATAACCCGCTCCACCACAAACACACTTGATATGGTAGATTATTTTTTAATTAATCTTTTCTGCTTTAACTTTATCTGTTTGTTTTTAAGTGCTATTTATTAGGGATTCAATTTGTTGCAGATATGATCATTAACTGAAATCAGTTGGCGAACTATTTGTAGGCGGGTAGTTGTGCTATATATATCGCGAATTAGTATAAGTTGGAATTCATTGGGTCCCACTGCCTGAATGGTGTATGAGAACTGACCTGGTAACCTGAACGTTCCGGGTTCGAACCACAGTGGGTGGGTGTATACTGTTGAGGGGTCCTAAACTAGAGTAAAACACTTTTTCAGTACTCCAGTGGTTCTCTAACTGATGGCAGTTTATTTTTATTTTATTTTTTAATTACAGCTTGATTCCACACTGTATTTTTGGTACAAGTATGAAATTTTCAGCATATGATATCGGAAGCCCAAATTTTGCAGGCAGACCATAGATATCAGGTGTGCGTCTGCAGTGGATCGAACCTCGGACCATGTGCATGGTCGGCGAGAGCCGGCGCACAGACTGTTACTGCTAGCCGCTGTTGTTTAAACGAACACTGAAACCTTTCATGGTGCTAGGAGAAAACCGGTGTAGATAAACGTACAACCCTGCAAAACAATGAATACTCTCTAAGTCATTAAGTAGGAAGAAAAATAATAAAAGAAATTAGGAAGACTCTCAGTAATTTCAGAATGATAATTAACTCATGAAGACATTTCCATGTGAATTAGTTACTCTGTATTCTAAAATTGCTTAACATAAGACTGTGTCTAGTGTGTAATATTGTAATGTCGAATGTTTACCATGCGCGATTCGCTCCTGTCAAATGTAAGATCATAAGGCTACAGGACTACCGAACTACATCGACTCACTCCTAGATGGCTTGAAGATAGAGAGTGAAGTGATAGAGCGTGTTAACCACTTCGGAAAGTTCCGCCAGCCAGCTCCTGTGGGTTGATAGCTGACGAAGTCTTAGCAGGTATACAAAAGGCTAGTTGGACACTTGCCAACAACCTACGCCATATCTGGCTTAGTAGTCGTGATATCTGGCTGACTGGTTGTCGATCAAAGGACGCGTATGTTGCTCAACAGTTCGCTCTATCCTCCTAAATGGCTGGCTGTGAGCGAGACCGGCTAGCTTTCTTTGATCATAAGTGTCTGTGTTCTGTCTACATCCATGTAGGGTGGCATAATAGGGTGAGTAATACTGAAGTTAGGCATCGGTCAACCGCTAGGGAAGGAGTAGAGGACATCAGCCGACGACGTTGTGCATAAAACAAGGTTGGGTCACATACTTAAATTTGTTGAAGCCTTCGCCATAAAAGGACTTAAACCTGTCCTATGTGTCCAAAAGTTATTTGCTGTTACTTTGCACTTGCCTTGGTAATCCAATTTAGAACCAAGGATCAATTTACTTCGTAATATTTTAAACCCCTTATTTGCTTTGTCTTCTCTCTTTTTTCTTTCTTATCCACACCTTTGCTTCATGTCCTTACCCCATTATTTGTGACTTTGACCTGTATTGTAAAGATTCATGCCGTTTATATAACTGTGTATGACAAGTACGTGTGTGATCAGAATGTTCGAAAAGTGTTGCGCAAATACATTACACGTTTCAGATAAACTACGTCTTCTTATTTTGTTGTCGAAATTCATAACGGGAACTAATTGCTCTAAATAAATAAATGTCTATCCCTCTATGGCCAAAGCAGAAGTAGAGATTGTACATACTTCTTTTGTACGCAAAGGTCTGGATAAATTTATAAATGGCCATGGCCTCCGCTGTCTTTAGAAGTCTATAACGAAGAAAACGCGGCAATTTAGCATGTATTCGGTATATGATCTTAAAATCATGGTCAGGGTTGGCAGAGTGACAAGAGTCGATCAGGTGTTCTGGAATAGAACTTCGCACACACTTTCTTTTTCCCTTGTAAAACCATGCTGGAATATGTTCTTGTTTCCGTGTGGAAAGCGTTCTCTGGCTACGGCCAATATACACTGCTCCACAAGAGCAGGTGAAATGATAGATGCACATGGAAGCGACCAAACGGGGGAGCTCACTGCTCACTGTTTCTATTATGCTTTTCTTGTACTTTCTTCTCTTGCTTCGCGTGCTACACGGAATGTGGCGACTTGAACTTCCGCACATTTGTGCAAAGTTCTATGTCGAAAACAGACAGACAGACAGAGATGAAGAACAACTTGCGGCCGGTGAACCTCATTTGTAAGTTTGTTGCAAAGAACGTCTTACTCACTGCTTTAGAGAGACGGTTTTCGAGCATATCTGGAGCTTGATCACCTTTGAATTTCAAGTTCATGAATAAGGTTTTCTTTGGAGCTGAGTCGGTGACCAGTTTTGACTGCTTATCTTTCGTGTTACTGCCCATAAATCGGTACGGATGATCGTTTTCTGCGAGCGTTGCTTTTAGGAAGTCAAGTTTTGAGTCGACGCAATCAGAACTACAGATGTTCCTTATACTAAAGCAGAGAGAATGAATTAGGTCCCATATATATACGATTGTACGGCTTGATAATAAATTCGTTGAAAAAAGTCTCTTCGCTGAATATTGTGTTCTTAATTTCTATACGATTTACAGACTTGGCGAGTGTGTCATCTAAAGCACTCCTAACAAACTCGTATCAACAGCTTCCCCTTTCGCTCGAAGCTGAAAATCGTATGACCCAGTGGAAGGGATAAGCAACAAGGATTTATGCCAACGAACCAACTAAGAATCTATCACTCAATAAATATGTAGAATAAAATGGAGATGGATTGGATATACGCTGAAGAGATCATAGAGTGACATAGTGCGCAATACTCTTGTGTGTAACCTGAGTGGAGTTTGTCTTCCAAGAATGACATGCAGAAGACTGTTTGAAGAGAAAATGAAAGCTTATGGAAAATTGTGGAGCCAGCTAAAAAAGACCACAGAGGACGGAATGCAATGGAGGTGTGTGCTTAGTCCCACCTGGAAACCGAGGGAATATTAATATATAGGATTTAATAGTGTGAAGTGTAGGTTGCCTTTTTAAAACAATTCCATGTAAAATGTCAAAATAAATGTGTCGGTAATTCGATGGTCATATGCTCACCAGCCAGCCGAGCACATGGTCGGAGTTTGATCCCCGGACGACGCACTCCTAAATCTCGCCTAGTTTATTAGCTGTTACTAAGATTGGGCGTGCGTCGGTGGCACAGCGGTTAAGACGCTCGCCGACCATGCACATGGTCCGGGGTTCGAGCCCCGGCCGGCGCACACCTTTACCTCACTGAGCCAGTAGTGAGACTGGTAAGGAGGAAAGGTTGGGCATGAGGCTAGCAACCCCATCCTGTAAAAAATCAACACTGCTACGGAATCTTCAAGCCTATAGCTTGGAGCCCTATGTTCCACTGGGAACGTGAAGGAAAAAAAAAATAGTGTGAAATATTCCCGGTATCGTGAATTAAAAGTCAACCTCAACGGAGAATATTCTTTTCAGTAATTTTTCCTCTTCAGGCTCTTACAATTATAAAATATAATATTTGTTGTCGTTGCAATGATAGCTAGTTATGCGGCGGATGTGCGTTGATGACACAGCGGTAGAGTGCTCGCCAACG